TTTCAATCTCAGTTCAAACCTACACACAACCGGAATGTGGTCTGAGGGGACATCTGCTCCTGGATAGGTTTTTGCAGATCTTATTGAGTTTGTGAATCTGTTGGGTATAGCTATATAGTGGATTTGATTTCTAACTTTGAACTATTTTTTCCTCAGAGTCTGCTGTGTTATCAAGTGTTACTGAATATAGTAAGTTATGATCCTGGCTGAACTGTATAAGACGGTCCCCTCTTTCGTTTCTTTCACCGAGTCCTAAATCCCCTGTGGTGCCTGGCACACTGCCTCGTCCGAGTTTGGCGTTGAAGTCGCCCATTATGATGGTTATCTCCTGTTTGTTCGTCATCTTAATCAAATGTTCTAGTTGTTCATAAAATTCTTCAATAACGGCGTCGTCTTTGTCGGCGGTTGGTGCATATATTTGAATGACATTGACGTCAAATGGGGTGGCGTGCAGCTGCAGAAGCATCATTCTGTCTGAGAAAGCTGTAAAGGATCTAACCGTTGGTTGGATACGTGGGGAAACAAGTATGCCCACTCCGTTCCTATGTTGTGAGTTGTCATTGCCAGAGTAGTATACTGTGTGGTCAAGTATCTTGTATTGTCCAGAATCGGGCCAATGGGTCTCACTGACGCCCATAATGTCTATATTCAGCCTATTCGTTTCTTTTATTATGTTATGGGTTTTTCCCATTAATTTTGTCTATTTTGGACTCTAACTTATCAATATTAGGTTTAAATTTTGTGAAACATTCATTTGCTAAGGTGTTTTTAGTTTTTTCTGCTTTGTTGATATTATGTGGTTTAAATATATATTTTTTTATGTTAATTTCCGGAATATTTGGTAATGATATATACGTGATATCACCTTCTCTTCTTTTATTTATGTACAAATATGCAATTCAACTAAATGGAAAAACAAATAAAGGAAGAGAAGATGATGTCAAGTATATATCATTACCATATATTCCGGAAATTAACACAAAATAAATATATTTAAACCACATAATATCAACAAAGCAGAAAAAACTAAAAACACCTTAGCAAATGAATGTTTCACAAAATTTAAACCTAGTATTGACAAGTTAGACACGCCTAATGTAATTTACAAAATAGACTGTTTGAATTGTGATAACACATAGATAGGTCAAACAGGACAATATCTAAAGAAAAGAATAAAAACGAAAAAATAACGGTAAAGCATTAGCACAGCATGCACAACAGAAGTTGCATAATTTTGATTTTGATAACACAAAAATACTGATTAACGAGAGTAATTATAATAAAAGAAGAGTCCATGAAATGATGCAGATTAAAAAACATAACAATGCTATGAATTTTAGATCGGATACCGACATTCTTAGCTCAGTATATCATACATTAATTAAATGAAATAAACATAGAATATTAACTAACACCCGGTATATTGAAGAATTTTGCAAACCAAAAATAATATCGTCAGAATACAAAGAAAAATAGCTGAAAGTAAAAGAAATCAATATAAACAGTATTTTATTCGCCTTGCGTCCAAAATGGACAAAATTAATACTCCAAATGTATGCCAAGGCTTAAAGCAGCAACAACGCTACCCAGGTAAGCAAAAATATTTAAGTATCTGAACGAAGAATTTTAGTCTCTTCCCAGATTTGATTGTCCTGACTAATCACCTGTTAAGCATAATTAATTTTAGAATGTTTTGAAGTATTGCAATTGTGATGTATTTTAATGTGTGATATGATGAGGCTGTTGACGAACTGTGGTTGTTTTTTAAATTAATGAATTTTTTT